TCTGTCTGTCTGTCTGTCTGTCTGTCTGTCTGTCTGTCTGTCTGTCTGTTACGCTTTCCCGCTTAAACCTCGCAACCGATTTTGATGAAATTTGGCATAGAGATAGTTTGAGTCCCGGGAAAGAACATAGGATAGTTTTTATCCCGGTTTTTGAAACAGGGACGCGCGCGATATAGTTTTTCTGTGACAGACAAAATTCCACGCGGGCGAAGCCGCGGGCGGAAAGCTAGTAACAAAATAAAAAGAAAAAGACTAACTGCCGTAAAAAACTATTAGGTCTACAGGGAATCTAAAATACATAGGATGAATTCTTGTCATTCTTAAAATATCACCATGGCAAATGATTAAGTAATATCAAACTGTTAGATTCCTTTATTTGAATCGTACGTCACACTAATTTCCTCATGAAAGAGAAATTCCTTCCCAAGAAGGAAGTTTGATGGCAATAACCAATTATTATTGAAGCGTATAAATAGTTACTATGGCGTAACACTAATCACTCAGCTGCCCGCCACTTTGTTCAGTTAAATATGGACGGCTAGGCCAGGAGCCAGTGAACAATGCTGTTTACAGCACGAGCATAATCACAATACCAGTTCCGTTCCAGTTGCTGCAATGTTTATTCAGTTGCAGTAACGGGCTGTTTATAATGTAAAACTTAAAATGCATTTAGTTTTGATAATATTATGACGCTGCTTAATGCGTTTTGTAAGTTTGTATTTTGTACATCCGCAAGCTCTTGCACTAAATTCTTCAGGATTGACAGACTTGACAGTATACTTAATTAAATCGTAAGCTGACAGTTGCAAAAGTCGACATAACAGGCCATGTGTGGTGTTTATTAATGAGATTGCTTGATCGAAATCCGTCGAGGATGTAGTTAGGCGGCTACTGGGTTGCGTAACGTCTATCATTCATACATTGATCATTGAAAAATTAATCGTAGTGACTAATTGGTTAAAAGATTGAAATGGCTAGTGCAAATGACTTCGCGGAAGTAACATGCAATAACATTTTCAATACCTGTCCTCGGAATCCTTACTTTCTATGGCATTATTTGCAGAAGTGGCAAATGTCACCTTTGCCTAATTTACATGTGAAAACGTTGTGTTTATACAAATGAACAATTACCTTTCACATGCATAGTATAATAACTCGAGAATGTCGTGCGGGTTACAATGGCATTGCCAGTTTGTGTCACTTTCAGTCTAAATTCCACGGCATTATTTCAGATTGTCTATCTAGCACTAGATTTTCTCTTTCAGTGCGAACGAATGCGTCCACGCGTTCAGCAAAAGACAAGAAAGTTTCACTGTCACATTGACTCAGTTTAGTAAATATTTTAAAATCATGTGCATTTTGCGGCTTTCCTTTCGTTTTTGCAGCGACAAAGGCTCATGAATCTTTTATTATTGTCTTACTGAGGTGTAACAAGGTATTGGTAATGTCAAAAAATCTCAACTTATTTAAATAAACCTGTCTGTCCTACTTCAGCATTGTTTCGCCCACAATTCACGTATTTGCATATTAGGAAGTGGGGCACTTTGAATAGGCAGTATTTGCAAGCGGAGTGCACGAGGTCACTTGAGCATAGATCACATAAAAGGATGGCGACTTTATTACTGAAACGTAAAGGCTGATTTTGAACGGAATATTGACAATGTTGTCATCATCGTGTTCAATCATTATATGGCGCCGCGCGTCGACTGCGCTTGATGCGGCGAATTAGTTTTTGTCTCTGGCTCTGTTGCCACACAAATTGGTGTTGGCACGAACTAGACGTATATAGGTATTATCATCAATATAGTTTTTGCTGATGTTGATTGGCTGTTGATCTGAATGCCAACAATGTTTCTGGCACAAGCGAAGCGCGTTAATTTAATATCACATCTCCGTATTAGATTCATATTTTTATGGAAAAGTCACAACTGTTTGCGAGTCATTAAAAGATTTAACTTAATTAGTTATGTTTAAAGATCAGTCCAATTTTATAGCAAATGCGTGGATCACGACTAAATATAGCTAGTCATGTGCCTTAATAATCAAAATGATGTAAAAACTGTGTATTAAAATGTAATATCGATTGCATATGTATTTTTTACTGATTTGTTGTTTTACCATTACATAATGGCCGAAATAATTACCAAAGTAAAACCTAGTTGATTAATAGGAAACTACGTTTTATCTTCCATTCAAAAACTTATAATGCAAAATTAATACCATCGAATTGCGCCTAGGTAGTAACAAACTCTATCCTTCACCTAGATACCTAGTCATAGGCGATTGAACTGATAACAATAGAGGACGGTATTCAGGATAAGATTATATATAATTATGTTACTCCCTTATACGTTAACAATGGACACACTTGTACTGGAAATAATTTCTGTCCTTGTTGCATTAGATTTGCGAAGTCGAATGCATTGTTCTCTTTGTTACATTTCGCGCACCGCTAATGCTGAATTCTGATTAACGTTGACAGTTGACAACAGTGTCAACTGTCAACTACAGAGTATAATGGTGTAATGATGATTCAAATAATGATTGTCATTAAAAATAAAGTAAATAAAAGTACTTACTTACATATTTGAACGTCGAGTCTTTCGTCATCGTAGTGCGCACTCGCTAAAATAATGTTTTGTGTAATGTTTGAAAGTGTTGTGAATGCTTATACTAAAACGTTTGTTTTTATTTGTATAGAGAACAATAGCGTCTAGACAAACCTAAAGAGGATTTAGGACGCTATTTCGATCAAATATGTAATTGCTCAATAATGAATAATAAATAAATAAATAATTTAAATTATAAAAGTTTTTATGCTTTAATTTAAAGCTTGGTGTATTTGTTCTAAATCTTTAAAAAAGATATAAATTGTGGTTCCATTTTAATTTTGTCAGTTTTATGTGATGTGAAGAGTATCTATGTAAAATTATTGTTTTACCTAGATATCTATTTGTAAAATCACATGCCAGTAGCTGCGCTGCATCAAGCAACGCAAATACATATATTTGAACATTTATGCACTCATTCTTCAAGCCTATCTGGAATTAGTCCAGTAGTGTTGCTATAAACTAAAATAGTTTGAATTTACGTTATGAATGATCAATGTCATATTTTCTGCTAGTTCGCTTATTAAGAGTTAAGCAACAAACCACGTATGAAATCAAAATTCAATTATAGCTGTATGCCGTCATACTTATCCTCGCGCAGGTAACAACTGCCGGCTACTTCGAATTATACCGTCGTATCCATTGTGTCATAGCGAATGAATACGTGATTTTGCGTTTTCTAAGTATATCCAGTATTAAAGCCGTATACACATTTGACGATGACGTACTTACAACCCGATCGAGTTAACTGCTCACCTGGCAGCAGCGTTGCCAGTTTTTTTTTTCGCCAAGTCGGGACTTTGGTTCTTTTTGAGTGAAAATAGCGGGATTCTTCCGTCTGAAGCGGGACATAGTAAAAAAACGTATATAATCAAAGGTTTTAAAATATTTATCTTTTTATTTGACTTAAAATTACGTTTACGTGACAACAGATAGCAAAAGTAGCCATAGAAAATGTATTTTAACAAAAAAAAATATTTTAAATCAGATTTACTCTATCGTTAAATTCGTCTTTAGAATAATATGGCGTTTCAAACAATAGTCTGGTGAAGTGAGTATCTCTCTCCGAAAAGCGGGACCGAGCCTGTCCCGCGCGGGACATTTAAATTTGATTTAAAAATCGGGACGTCTGGCAACGCTGCCTGGCAGCTGTGACGTCACATCGATGCTCTGGTACGGATGCGACGAAGGCGGGGAGGTGTACTGAGGTGCGAGGGAGAGTTGCATTCCAGCAAGTTGCGCAGTTAGCTCGATCGGATTGTACTACATATACACTTTAGGAGACATGTATAATGCGTATATCAATACAGAGTGTCATTTACTGCTTCTCCCTTTATTACATCATTATACCTAATTAATTTACAAAAAAAAAATGCTTTCATCCATTATATTTTTGACCCTTTTAAGATTCTCATGATAGCATTTTATTGGCAATTAGTTTCGCGACCTAATTATCGCGAATGGTAACAGACAGTATAGATGACAGTATATCAAGCTAACACTGTGGTTATTCCATTGTATTAAGTGCTATTTTGCAACAAAGTTCTCCGATATGTTGTACTGTACAAATATTGTTTCATTATGCTTATTGTCAAGTGCTACATTCAAATTGGCGCCGTATTTTAACCATTTTAAAAGCCCAGTGCATCTGCCATCAGAATGCGGTCATGTAATTGCTGTTTCCTCTCAACGTCTTTCTCAAATTCGACCTTAATTAACACATTTACAAAAGATTTTCGCAATTCGCGCAATCAGACTCAAGAAGTTGACACTTAGTGAGTGGACACTGCGCTTAACATACACATACTAAGGCCACACTGTCGAAATGTTTACATTTATTGCTGGAACCTATTTTAAGAAATGACGAACGACTTAAGTTTTTATAAACTGCTTAATGTAAAGCTCAAATTGTTATTTGTCAAAATAGATAACATCTAACGAGTTTATTTATTTAAAATACTGTGAGCTAAATGTCGTTCGTTACTTCGACATGTCTCTTAAATTCTTAATACATTTTGGGGCGCCACAAGTTGTTTGTCCTTGTCCCATACTGCAGCTGCATATAACGCTGACAAATGCAGGATTGTTTGTTAAAGGGTTTTACTCATAACAAATAAGTTTCACTATAAAATTGTACAATTATAAAATTCCGCATATTTAGTGACTCGAGTAGGTAAGCTAAAACGCTAAGAAAATTTGCCGACATTTCTATGTACAGTCAACAGAATTAGAAATAATTTTATTGCAAAATCACACCCATCAGAACTACTACAAATTTGGTTATTGTTCTTATAGGAAAGTTGCATTTGAACAGTAGAATCAATCCTTTTTGTCAATCATCCATGAATGGGCCATCTTGTATAGCGTCTAACCTAAATTTCAACTCCGCAGGACTACAAAAAGCCGTTAGAAGAGAGCAGTCCAGCGATACTGAACGCCTGCAAGATCCAAACATTATTCCATCGGCTGCCTGACATACTACAATGCCACCTGCACTTCCGAACTGCGCTGGCCGACTGTGCGCGCACGTGGGACCGCGATGAAAAAATTGGTGAGGTTCCAGAATGTTCTAGAAAGATAAGACTGTTGGACAAAGGGACTCCTAAGGATTTTCACAATGTCACACCTCTTGCAACCTTCGTCAGTCCATCGACACTGCTCACGTAAGTTTTTCCACACATTTTGTATAGCAAAGATGAACTACGACGTTGGACCCATTTTTTTTGGCATAATTGGGTTGACGATTGTGAGAGAAAAATGGTTCGTGGTGTCGACAAATAATTCAGTTTAACGTCATCATCGTCAAGATAAAGCAGTGCATTGCTGAACAGGTTTTCCCTAATAAACGCCATTAAAAAAACCTTGTCTGCGGCTTGTTGCATTCAGCTTAGCGTCAAATTCTTTAGTAGACAAGGTGACGCTACGTTATGTAAATCACTCACAGTTTTCTATACAATATGCATGTTAACGTGCTCGATATCTAAGATCGAGTAAAAGTTATCTGATCATTTACGATCTGATTTCTGAATTATTTAAATACTGCTCGCGGCAGTTGTCGCTCTCACTAGAATCAATCGAGAAAGAGATTGCGAATACAAAATAATTTAATTATTTAATAATAACACAAGTTTACAATACTGTTTCGTATTAAGTGTCAGACAGAAAAAACAAACATAAGTCTGGTAACACGGTATACAACCACATGTTTGCTTTGGATCCGCCACAAAAAACATTTCGGCAAACTGCAGCGTGTGAAATGAATGAAATTCAACACGTCTCAGCACATAGTGATTTATGTATCGTCTGCAACTAAGTTTGTGAGCTGTTTTAAATAACTAGCTTTTAAATAGATTTTTTACACAAATTTTTAGGGCTATCTTTGTAAATTAAACGAATATCAGTGGTAATTGTGAAAAATGACGGAAAGAGGCAAATCTACAACCGATGTTGGCTTTGTTTACTTTTATCTATCGTATCTACCATGCTCGCCAATGACATGGCAATAGAGCCGAAACAGCGCAATCTTAATACCTCAGCTACACTACTATAACAAAGTTGGAAGTAGTTAACCTACGTAGATGGTGAAAAATCGACTCGCCAGACCTCCGATTTTTGTCGGTTTTGCGCCTGAGTTAATGGGCCTGAAGCGTTTCTAAGCGTATTTCACGACTTGTCTGACTTCACTACGCGGCTAGCTTTCCTCAAATTTTTCTTTTAGGCAGTCTTATCCCTTATATCCTTATATCTTAATCCAATAATATTAAGATATTAATGTCATCTAAGCTCTAACATAACTCGTTTCTTTTCTTCCAGGCGAGGTCTTCCTCAGCGCGTTTTCTAAGGCCGTCGTACTGGACGTGTACTCGGACTTCATAAACAACTTCTCGGTGGCGATGGAACTGGCCAAGATGGAGTCCAAACGCAAGTCTGCGTTGGCTGACTTCTTCAAAGTGAAGCAGATCAGCGCACACGACAGGCTGTCGTTCTTTGGGTTAATGGTCAAACCGGTGCAACGGTTTCCACAGTTCATCATGTTCTTACAAGTGAGTAGTATTATAATAACTGCATGTGATAGGTACTGACTGAACTGACGGCCGATGGGGCAGTAAGGTTCTGAAGTCGAGGCCACGTACCGTAGGACGTCCACCCACAAGGTGGACTGACGACCTCACAAAGGCAGGAAGGCACTGGATGCAGGCCGCTACCAACCGGTCATTATGGAAATCATTGGAGAGGCCTATGTTCAACAGTAGACTGTTGATTCCTATGGCTGAAATGATGGTGATATGATAGGTATGACGACATTGCTACCTTCAACAAGACAAAATTTATGATTTTTTGCTATTATCTAATAATAAGGAGGTATACATAGAGTTCTGTTAACCGAGACGTCAGGCGATGTAAGAGCAACAACATTGTTTCGTAGCATGTGGGAGGCGGAGTCATACTTATTTTAGGAAAATCAGAATCATTCAAGCCAGAATTGTCTTAAACAAATTACAAAAAAAACGGCAATAAATACAAAATTTCATTTCTGTGTAATATTTTACTGCGTTGTGTTCCAATGGAAATCGAACCTCCCGAGTTGATATTAACCAGTAGACAACGAAGGCAATTAAAAATGCTTCCTCTAGTCTGACTCACAAGGTGCTCGGCTACTTCAAACGCCTTAATATTTTCTTATGAACTTTAGTACTTAAAGTCCGGTTAATCGTGTAAAATGATGTGTTTTTAACATTTTAAATAAAAATTTACTTTTATATTCTACATATTTTCTACTAGACAATTCTGTAGATAAACTTATACTCAAGATAAATATGTATCCGGTATTAGAAGATGTTTCAAAGGGATGATGAGGTCGAAATAACAGGAAAAACTTGCTTAAGCTTATACTTTATGTAATTTACTGTAAGGATATTGTATAAATTAACTATTAAGGATACTCATTATTGTAAGTTGAAGATTAGATCGCGCACGATCATGTACATAGCCTGTAATGATAGTACCTATTTAAGTGGTTGTTAGTGAATAAGTATACGCCACTATTTATCTCCGAAGGAATATCAATTATTTTACATTAGTATTCTAATAAAACTTTGAAATAATGTCAGTGTATGGATTCGTTATGGATTTAGTTAAATAAAATAACAGTAAATGTTAACAACATAGTTACTGTAGTAAAATGCTGAACATCGAGCTTTATTTGAGAACCGAAATCATGCTCATTGCTCATGTTCGTTCGGCGTCGTTCGCCGATCATTGTCAGTGACACATTGTCAATGTAAACCTTAGTTGAATTAAGTCGAATTATTCAATATCAGTAATAAACATCTTCAAAGAACGAGACCAATGTAAAACCACGCTTCTTAACACGTTGGACGCCACGCGGCTCACCGGTGAGCCTCGAACAATACAATTTCCATTGTGTCTAGCGTCTCGGCGTTCAATGACTTAACTTGAAATAAGATGTACAGTCGACAGCACGTCAACGTAAACACTGTGGTATCTTACGTAGTTGCGATAGGGGCGACTTTGCAACGAAAATGTATAGTCTGATGTGCTGTCGACTGTACAATTGCAACATCTATAAACATCTTCAGTGTCAAAGTAAAACCATACCTCCCGGGTTGAAATAAAGTGCCTTTTTGCAGGATCTCCTCAAACACACGCCTCCAGGACACGCAGACCGCGTGGCTTTGCAGAGAGCGCTGACGCGGCTTGAAGCACTCGCGGAGGCCCTCAACGAGAGGAAACGCGACGCAGAAAGGACGCAGGTAAGATACTTGGATCTTAAATAGAGGACTAGATTACGCAATAAGTGAAAGAGTTTCTGGCGCTGCTTCTCAGCACTGGCCTATTCGTTGTCCCGAAGTAGTGGTAGAGTTAAAGGAATACTGGGGCCTGTACAATCGATTGAGGACCTCGCGAAGGCTCTCAACGAGAGGAAACGCGACGCGGAAAGGACGCAAGTAAGACTTAGACCCAAAGTATAGGACTGGATTACCTAATAGGTGAAAGAGTTTCTTGCGCTGCTTCTCAGCACTGGCCTATTATTTGTCCCGAAACAATGGTAGGGTTAAAGTAATACTGGGTCGTGTAAAATCGATTGAGACCCTTGCGGAGAGGACGCAAATAAGAGATTTAGACAAAACATAAAATTCAATATCTATATTATATTATAAACGCGAATGTAACTTTCTGTCTGTTGCCTTTTTTACGCCAAAAGCACAGAACCGACGAGCTTATGGAAAAAACATAGGATTGTCTGTTTTTGTCCCGAATTCAAATGGGGGTCTAAAAGACTACAAAAGTCTTTTTGCTAGACCAAGGTGCTCGCATGCGGAGCCGCGTACAAAAGTAACCTATTTCATACTACCTACGAGTACCTATATTGTAGGAAAGGTATTGTTCCAGCAGTAAAAGCTTTCCTATTCAATTTATCTCTTCCAAAATCAAATGGTATTCGTATTTCTTACTGTGACAGAAGATCGTAATGTATGTATAAGCCATCATTATCCTATCCCATTTATCTCTGTATCGAAATTAATTGACCGGTTTAGGTTTGAAAACGTGCAGACAGGTAGACAGAGTGACTTTCTTCATTAATATAATAGCATGAATTCTAATTTTGTTTATCGTTCTGTGACACCTTCCTCAGGTCACTGGTCTATGTATTCATAACACATAAAACAACGATTAAATGGTAATCTAATGCAATTAATGTTAATTTAATGTGGATTTGATATTATGTAACGAGCATTTACATAAAATGCGGTGTCAACGCTCTTGTATCGGAAGTAATAACTTAAAATTGTTTAAATTAGCGACTTATAATGAATTTTAAGAAGTCGTTTAGATAGTTAATTTTTATCAAGACTAATCACTCAGTTTTGTACATTTAAAATGATGCATTGATATTTAAAGTTTATTTAGGTAAATATTAGTTGTTTACAAATAATATTGATTAGCCTTTGCGGGAAATAACGAACAAACAAATATTTGCACTGTGATAATGTTGTCATAGACTTGTTTCTTTGTTTTGTTCACTGTGGCGTCTAACACAGTCGTAATACATATAAGCGATTTTGCGATAAAAATGAGTAGTGTGATGTGCTTCTGTTTCTTGGAAAATAGCATCTAATTCAAGTACATAGATTTCATATTTTTTTTTTAGAATTCGTTCGTACTTATTATTATTGTCATCAATATTTCATCAGAATTGCAATCGTCATGAATCGTTTTTGCTACGATTATACTTAATCTAAATTATTTCACCAATAAAACTCAATTACATTACAACTAATTTACCGTTCCGAGATAATTTACATTACAGACCATGATTTACGATTATTGTTAAAGCAATCAGACCGTAAGGAATGTTGTAATAAATAATCTGCGGCTTCTTGTTGTGCTGAGAATTATAATATTGAACATTTTAAATACATAGTTCTATTAGTTTTCTTAATAATAATTGCATTCCGGAGATAATGTCATTATGTATTGTATGACGAATCTACAAAATATAATTCATCAGACGTCGTAACGTCGTATTATTAGGATGTTAACATAGTTCTTTCTTAGTCGCTTCTTACATGCACGGGAAGAGTGGAGCCGGTCATACTCTGCCAGAACCGTGCCTCGTGAGGAGAGTAGACCAAATCCTTCATTTATGTTTGGTGAATTGGAGAGGTTTCTGTTTACGCATTGAGTATAATTTTCCCGTTAACCTCTCCAGCTAATCAAAATAATGCACTTGTGTTAGGTTCATCACAATAGTACAGCAACAGCGAGGATCATCCCAGCGTTCCTCGGATCTTGAGTCGGCCTTCACCGTTTCGCTATCACCGCTTTTTCTGATATCCAATTGGCAATTTAACACCGATACCATTTAGCCATTATGGTCTTGTAAAATGAACTGTGTGCTTAGTACGAATTTGCATTGAACGTCGTCGTTAACGAGTGCGTAAAAAAAGCTAGGATGATTTTAGTTCTTGAAAGTATCCGCTAGGGACGCTGCACAATTCGTTATACATTTAATGTCATTTTAATAAACTCGCACTAAGCCTAGGCGCAGAGCACCGATTTTTAGTAGGCCGATAGTTGTGCCCGATTTTAAATTGTATGAAGAATCGGCTAAATCGAATCGGTGTAATGTGCGCACTTCCATACATGCCCATACTGATCAACTGCCCGACTAAACTATCGGCCGACGAAAAATCGATGGTCTGCGCCTCGGCTAAGCCTCATGGTGATAATAATAATGATGATTACTAAAGCCTGGTCCGTGAGCACGTAGAATTTTGTCCAATGACCCAAAGCTACCCCATCCTTATCGCTCGCGCGTAATTATGTTGCTTTCGCGCTCGCACACTCATTGCGGGCGCCCGTCGCACAGTCGCGTCAGCAATATAATTACGCGCGAGCGATAAGGATGGGTAGCTTGGGGTCATTGGACAAAATTCTACTTGCTGAGAGACCAGACTATAGTAATGATGATGATTACTAAGCTAAAATGACTTTCGTTGCGCAGGCGTTCCGCGCGGCGCTCCGGCGGCTGACTCGCGGGGGTGTGACAGGGGCGGGGGGTGCGGGAGGGGCGGCGCGGTTCGGCGCCGCGAGGCTACTGGCCTCACGCGCTGACAGGAGGCATCTGTTGAGGCAGGATGACTTGGTGCAGTTGGTAAGTAGTTTTTATTATTTCTTAGAACTTAGTTTACAAATTGAAATTATAAATCAATAAAGTTGTAATATTTTTTGAAGTCTTGTCTGGTCTGGAAATCACAGAATGGATACCAACATATTATACAGGATGTTTCTTGTAAGGTGTCAAGCCGAAGGCAGGTGATAGGTGAGGACTAGACCTATCGATTTCACCCCCATGTATGTTTTACGATTTTTCATAGTTTAGAAGTTATCGTTAATTTTGTGATTTTTTCAAATTGTATGACCTAGTAGGCTTTAAATTTTTTTATCTTTTTTTTGGGTCGACTTTTCTCAGATTTCTTTTTTTTGACAGATTCCCTATTAATTGCAGATTTTTGAAAAAAATAATCAACTTCCTATCTTTGATGCAAGATACAAAATTTTTGCTAGAAACATAAAAAATATGCTTTTAGCGGAACATTCTAAAATTTTCAACTTAAAAGTTAACTTTTAAGTTGAAAATTTTAGAATGTTCCGCTAATAGCATATTTTTTATGTTTCTAGCAAACATTTTGTATCTTGCATAAAAGATAGGAAGTTGATTATTTTTTTCAAAAATCTGCAATTAATAGGAAATCTGTCAAATAAAAGAAATCTGAGAAAAGTCGACCCAAAAAAAAGATAAAAAAATTTAAAGCCTACTGGGTCATACAATTTGAAAAAATCACAAAATTGACGATAACTTCTAAACTATGAAAAATCGTAGAACATACATGGGGGTGAAATCGATAGGTCTAGTCCTCACCTATCACCTGCCTTCGGCTTGACACCTTACAAGAAACACCCTGTATAGTAGCATCTCTCTCCAGACCAAAGGTTTAGTTAATAAAACCCATCAAGTAACAGTTTGGTACATATTCCATTGGCTATTGCTGTCTACGTCGATTTGTTTATTCAATTGATACATTCAATGCCGAATTTAGATGTCTAGAGGCCTTGAGGCAACAAAGAGATGGAGGAGTGTTGTCTTATTAATTTGATCGCTCTTTTGATCCGTGAATTTCTATCGATGTAAATTATTACTTTGCCGCAGCATTAAGGGACTAATAAAAAAAATCTGTTCTTCACAGGAATTCAACCAATCGGGTGGCATATCCAAGTGCAAACCTCGTCGGCTTCTCCTTCTCAACGATCTGGTGGTTTGCGTATCTGTGGGTGCGGGCGGCGATGATGCTGAAAGGCTGGGGCTCAAGTGGGCGCACCCTGTACAAGACGTTGACGTTTTGGACACGGGCACCTCGCCTACGCTCAGCAGGGTGCTGGCTCAAGGTTAGAAACTCATTAATGAGAAATAGGGTTACGTAGAGATTCTGGTGCTTAAGTAGGTGCATCATGTACAATATATGGATATTTTGAACACGGGCACCACGCCTACGCTCACAGCAGGGTGCTAAACTCAAGGTATTTTTTTTAAACGTATTGCTAACAGATAAAATCTATATTGTAACTAGCGCTAGGCCTTACAACTAACATTAGTACCAGGATACAGGCACCTCCTCTTACCGTTAAGGTAATTTAAAACGTATGGCTGAAAGATAAAGTCACAAATAAATATAATAAAGGTAAACTGGATGCGAATGCCTTATGGCATTAAGTTTGCCTAATGTTAATATTTTTGGCATTTAAGTATAAATAAATAAATAAATAGCACTAATAGCTTGGAGAACGACGATGTGAAAGAATTTAGGCTTGCATGCAAGTTCTTGAGTCGTCATCCTCCTGCCTCTTTCACTTGCAGCGCCGCTGAGCCTAGAACACTGTAAAGAAACATTCTTAACGCATTCACATATCGCTGATTACAGGCATGAACCGCAGCGGCAGTCTCCGCTCGAACTCAAGCGGCAACGTGCACCAAAGCACTGCGACTGGCGATTCTCTCTGCAACGAGATGTCAGCGCTCATGTACGATTACGAGACCGTGTCGCGGATGGCTGACCTCGCTGCCTCTATGAGGACGCCGTACCCTGAGCTGGCTCCTGAGATGTTCAGGGCTTTGCTGCAGAACATACAGAAGAATATACAGGTACATACTTCTAATGACAACAAATATCTAAGTTGAAAGATGTCCATTATCTTCCCTGATAGAAATGCCGTTGTCGTGGTGCATTTTCATAAGGTTACTAAACCTTTGTTTGTCACATGTCATCCGCTTTGCTATGGAGGAATGTCGAACCTTAATTTCGAACTCTTATGTTCTACTGATTCATTTCGTTGCGGGTCCAATGACAGTTTAATTTTCTCCTGGGACAAACTTGACCTTCATTGGTTAGGTTTTTGTGGCGGTCAAGCTGTAGATCCTGGCTACACAGGAGTTGCAGTGGTGGGAATAGTCCCGTAACGCTCCAGCTTAAAATACTTAGCTTAGCTCAGTTCTTACAATACCCAGCCATAATATGATAAATGAATAGTAAAAGCTGTTTGTGAACAGCAAATCTAATCTAATTAATCTAATAAACAACATTCAAACCTAATTTTATTTTCTTCCTCAGAAAAAAGACGACGAAATGGCGTGGGTGGATTCCTGTTGCCTCCAACTGACGATACGCGGGCGCGAGGAACCAGTGACGTTCCGAGCGAGCGAGCCGGGCGCTCGCCTCGCGTGGGCCACTGAGCTAAGATTAGCTCAGTTAGCTCAGGCGTCCGCTAACTCGCCTGCCTGGCGATTGCCCGCGCCGCAGCAAGCGCCTGCGCATAAGATGCCGTTGTTTGTAGCCGCTACGCCTGTGTACTCATCTAAGCATTTGACTGAGGTAAGTAAGGCCCAGGGGACTACTCCTTTTATCCGACTGCGTCAGAAGGATGGTTGTTATATACAAGTTGACGGCTTCTAATCTCGTTCATACAGCCAGGGGCTACTCCGAATCGTTGTTTACGTAGTTTTGGTTATATCTGTCACCGTTGCTCATGCTGGTATATCGATTTGTGTGAGAGGGACGACAACATTCGAAACTTCGGTTAAGCTCCGTAGTTTCTACCAAAACGGAGAGGAGAGGAGATGTTTTTGAACATCCAATCAGATTTCGTTTTTCCACATCTCATTTCCGTTCAGCTTCGGTAGAAATGGAAATGGCGGATTTTTTTTCATGGCTAACGTCTGGAACCCGGACGCGAACGCAGATTGAAAGCTTTGGTTACTGAAGCTTTAAGGGCAAATTTTTTTCAATCGTTGGATAACTTTTATCTGAAGAATAAGTTTGGCACATTGACAGTTTTAGTATGGGAAATATGTCAAAATGGCAATTTTATTCTTCAGATAGAAGATATCCGACCATTGAAAAATCAGCCCTAAGTGACCGTACCATAAACACTATTTCGTTCCACCAGGTGCGCTGCGGCTGTTTCTACACGTCAAGCGGCAGCCCGCGCGGCGCGTCCATGCGGCGCGCGCGCTCCTTACTATGGGTGTGCGCGGCGGGCGCGGCCGCCAGCCACGTGGCCGTGCTCGCGCACCGCGCCGCCAAGCTCAAGACGCTCGTCACGCTCGACCTGCCCGACACCAAGGTACATAGACACAGTACCTAAGTGTTACCATAGGGGGTCACTTAAAAATTAGGGATTGATGGTGAAAATGGGCATAGCACGTGTAATTTTTAGAGCAATTAGTACGTGCCATCTAAATGAATTTGTTAAATGGAGGAGTCATTAAATGCTTCTGTTTATATTTTTTATTGTACCGACGTTATTGCATTGAAGTAATGTATTTGCGTTTCCTTGCAGGTTACCTCCATGGAATATGCAAAAGGACTCCGACAAGTGACCACGCTGTGCGGCGACACAGTGTGGCTCGGCACTGAGGACAAGAAGATCATCATATTCTCCGGCGTCGAACCGGAGAAGCAGGAAAAATTGACTGAAGTCCAGACCATCGCGGCCGTCACGCAAATCCGCTACCACTGCGATTCCATGTTCGTGGGACTCGCCAACGGACGAGTTTCAGTCTTCAGAAGGAACCACGATGACTCCTGGGCGCTACACGAACCACTCGCAATAGAACTAGGCGACAAACCAGTCCACTGCGTGTTACCGGTCGACGGAATCGTCTACGCGACGTGCGCGCGACGCGTGTTCGCTATCAACGCGCTCACAGCCGAAATCATGCGCATATTAGAACTCAAGGGAGACGACGACAGATCAGTGAAATACCTCGCGCATTCCGGCGTCGGATTATGGACCGCGTTCTCAGATTCCACGTACGTCAGTCTGTACCACGCGGAGACGTTCGAGCATCTGCAAAACATTGACATCGCTGCAGACGTAGCGAAGACCATCGGTGCTAGGGAGGGCAGTAAACCCGCTCATGTTTCCGCCTTGCTGGCGGGACAAGGGTTACTGTGGGTGGGGACAACCGCTGGCGTCACTGTGACCGTCCCCCTTCCCAAGTTAGAAGGACTGCCTCTCGTAGGAGGACACATGGGAGTTTCCTATCACGCTCACGCGGGACCGGTGACGTTTTTACTGTCATTGGTGCCTGAAACTAGGGAAGTCGACGTGAACACGGTGCGACGGAATCTGTCAAATGCGCGCGCTCTAGCCAACTCGGCGACGCTGCACGAATTCAAAGAGGAGGAAGCAAAAGAGAATGACATCGATAAACCTAAACTCGAGAGGCGGATATCGGAGGAGACGAGCCCGTACCGGCCGCAGCGAGTTCAATCCGCGGTCGTTCGCAGGAAGAAACCGGGAGACGTGCGGCTCAGCAAAACGCTGCCGAAGTGCGCCAACTTGAACGCGTGTGACGTATACGGCTTATTTGGGGACTTGATGTTCGTCAAAGACTGCGTTGGGGAGGCTGACGTAAGTGGCTCCGGTGGCGAAGCCCTAAGACGGAGTGACCCCGAACTCGCCGCCATTCCGTTCAGAGTTAGCACGCTCGACCGCCGGCTACGAATGCGGGCAGGCCGACCGAGGAGTCTCGATCTATCCAGCTGGTCAGTCGATTCTCGCGCGTCAAGTCTCTGCACCTCATCAGGCAGCGAGGAATCGATGGCCCTCCGTGGGGTTTCTCGAACAAGTTCGGGCGCTTCTGGGGCAGCGAGTCTGGCACCTGTTGCCGTTTCCACCCCGGACTCGACTTCGAGTAAATCCACCGCATCAGACCGTTCGATATCCCGGAGCGATTCTGCGAACGCTCAAGAATCCAAAACGACTGGGAAGAGTGCAGCTAGGAGTTTAAGGGGCTCGGACTATGTGTTAGGAGAGAGTGCGGCCCGGAGGTCCGTAGTGACGATAGTAGGAGGGCGAGGTTACGTGGATTGGAGGCAGACGGCTGACGCAGCCGAAAGGCCAGCGCCCGCCGCTGACCCCAATCCCAAAGACGCTCACCTCATCCTCTGGGAAATGCGCTTGTGACCTGCCCCAGTGACAAAACGGTACATGACACCTCCAATACCACTAGAAATATCTCAGAGTCAGACAGTTGTTTACCAAACAAATATCAAGGAAGAATAGCAATCGTGGAAATTACTTTTTCACGGTTTCTCTTCGTCGTTGAAACGCAATCTACTACCGTAGAAAGTTGGTAACCGAAATCCTCTATAATCCGACAATTTGTGTAAAATATGTGTACAATGCTTCGTTAATTTATATGGATTTCAACTATTTCACTTATTGTGATATTTTCCTTTGTTTATTAACTTTGAAGATTACTCTTTATTTACGAAATTGAATATCGTAAATAGAGATTCTATACCTTTATTCGAATTCAAATTCAAGCCGGTTTCCGAAAAGGCTTTGGTACCATAGACCACATACATACGCTGCGGCAGATTATACAGAAGACCGAGGAGTATAATCAGCCACTTTGCCTGGCGTTTGTGGATTATGAGAAAGCCTTCGATTCGGTCGAGACCTGGGCAGTGCTACAGTCTCTCCAAAGGTGCCAAATTGACTATCGTTATATCGAAGTGTTAAAAAGTTTATACAAAAACGCCACAATGTCAGTCCGCCTCCAGGATCGGGACTCGAAACCTATCCAGTTGCAGCGAGGGGTAAGACAGGGAGACGTCATATCTCCAAAACTGTTTACCACCGCCCTGGAAGATGTCTTCAAGCTCTTGGACTGGAGCGGATTTGGCATAAATATTAACGGTGAGTACATCACCCACCTTCGATTCGCGGACGATATCGTAGTCATGGCTGAAACCTTGGAAGATCTAGGCACAATGCTCGATGGCCTCAGTAGAGCCTCTCAACAAGTGGGTCTCAAAATGAACATGGACAAGACAAAAATCATGTCTAATAACCGTGTCGCACCCACTCCTTTGAAGGTTGGAGACTCTACACTCGAAGCTGTTGACAATTATGTATACCTGGGACAAACAGTCCAGTTAGGTAGGGCCAACTTCGAGAAAGAGGTCAATCGTCGAATCCAACTCGGCTGGGCAGCGTTCGGGAAGCTACGCAATATACTCACGTCCGAAATACCGCAGTGTCTCAAGACAAAAGTCTTCGAGCAGTGTGTGCTGCCAGTGTTGATTTATGGATCCGAAACGTGGACGCTTACTATGGGCCTCATAAGAAGGCTCAAGGTCACCCAAAGGGCGATGGAGCGGGCCATGCTTGGAGTTTCCCTGCGTGATCGAATCAGAAATGAGGAGATCCGCAGGAGAACCAAAGTGACCGACATAGCTCGCAGAATTGCTAAAACCAAGTGGCAGTGGGCGGGGCACATAGCTCGTAGAGACGATGGCCGTTGGGGCAGAAAAGTTCTCGAGTGGCGACCACGGGCTGGAAGACGTAGCGTGGGCAGGCCTCCTACTAGGTGGACCGACGATCTCGTAAAGGTCGCGGGAAGAGCCTGGATGCGGGCAGCGCAGGACCGTGCATTGTGGAAAGCCTTGGAGGAGGCCTTTGTCCAGCAGTGGACGTCATTTGGCTGAAACGATTCGAATTCAAATTACTGGTTGGTATTTATGTTTGTTTAAAATTTTCACAACAAGGGGTAAGCAGTGCTGTATCACCCTGCATTTGGAATTTTTAGGATTATCGATATTCTACTGGATTTCTTGAACTGGTGTCATGTACCCAATGGTTAGGGATTTTCGTACGCGCGTAATTATTTACGTGAGAGTATCGGACGGGTCCGTTTTCAGGATCCGATTTTGTGTCATATTACGTAATGTAAATACCAGTGCGTGCTGTATATTCCACTCGAATGGGCTATTATAGTGTAATTAGTTTTAAACTCGTGCTAAATATTGTAAGTTGTTAATTCCTAACACGCCTTATTATATTGCGGTTTCGCACGTAAAGAGTAAGATTTATTTAATTCGAATAGATTTACACTGAGTGTAAGGTTACGTGATGAGCTTTAAATTATTTTTCGACGTTGCGGGCTTGCTTGTTGTTGGCCCTATGTTTACATTGGTTTTTGTATAATATTGTGTAAGCGCTGGTGCATTATTTTTGTGATCTTATATTGAACTGTTATCGATTATAGTAATAAATAAAACCTATAGACTCGCAAAGCCGTGTTCAATTAAAATTTTTGTCTCTGTATGAATGTAATAGAAGGAATCGCCGGTTGTCATGCAGTGAACCATTAAATTATTATAAGAACTAACCAAATAGTGAGTATTTCTTTATTTTATATTCTGATTTAAATTATGTGGTATGATCTTACATCCCGCCATATTATCATAACGTCTAGATGTTTATTTGTAAAAATGTAATTAAACTCTATTTACTGTTTAATTTACTTTATCGTACGTAATTAATTTAAATTAATACTTTAAATTTTATACGAAACCTAGTGGCCTTATTTTTACATTGAAATTTCCAGTGTGTGTGATTATAATCGTTTAAGCTTTATTGTTAGACATAATTATAATGTCGCTTTAAGAATTAGACTGATTTAGCTTAAGCGTTAAAACGTACTATTAGTTGAATTTTTAGTGATTAAGACGAATCTACGACACGAACGAATTTCACAAAAATAAAACGGGTATTTATACCGGTGCATAGTAAATTGCGACTAATGCAATGAGACATGGGATGCCTAAAACAATATTGTTTATAAAAACATATTTTCTTTTCGAAATCTCTTAGTATAATGGATCTCCTCGACCTCATGTCTCAAGCTTATACAAAAATACTACCACTACTGTAACGTTTTTACTGTTTGTTAAATATTCATAGTTGAAAAGGTTGTCTGTTTCCGTCACAAAGTTGTTAACGTTTGCAAAAGTTCACGGTTCAATTATTCACAGTCCATACTTGAGTTTAGTACTGTTAAGTCGTTAGATTGTTATTTTCGGTCAGTAAAACATGAAAATGAACGTTTACGTACAAATCCAAAGAGGCAATATTTTTTTCAGTGTAGCTAATGCTAAATTAGTGTTTCGGGTTATTTTTTTGTTTCACAGCTTTCAATGTGCCAAATTGTAAAATATCAGATGTAATTGTTTATATTGTACAGAGATTTAATTACGATTGTGTTTATTTTGTTTATATTACTTACTTCCGTACAGGTTTTTCATTATTTTTCTGTTTGTTTGAACCATGAAATTACAATATGCGAACTTTCTCGAATATCCTGAATTTTGTACTGAAATCAAAATGTCTTTATTTATACTACAGAATGTCACAACTTATATGTACTAAGGTGTAAATAAATTCTAAGTTTATATGTATACACCTGTATTCAGTGGTTTTATTTATCCTTCCATTTCTCAGTTAAACTGCAAACAAATTAGGGAGATAATTAAATTGAAGTTTTCCTTGTGGTTTCTTGTGCAAGACAGTTATGTACACTTTGCACATTACGCTATGTAACAAACAAGTAATATTGCATCAGACACGAACGACGCAATATAAAACAAATCAAAGGGCTATTGAATATCTATTTTAGGGGTAATGACTGTTAAATCATTAGTGTAAATAGAGATGATGATGAAATCAAATTGGAAATTACACTTCCCAGGAGATAGGTATCTACACTCGCGAGCAAAAGTATGGAATCACTTACATGAAGTTGTTTCCACGCGATCTTGTGTACTAACGAATTTGTTAGTAACAAAAAAAGTAGCACCGTTTTAAAGATTAAACTTTTTACTTTAAATTGATACCAAATTCATTTAAATCACACCAGTATTTAAAAAGATATCCCGGCTGATGTGAAGAAGTAACGAAAAAGACATGTATCAACTGTTTGATACGTCGCGAGTTGCGGCCTATTTACCCCCCATAAAAGCAAGTGTTTTCGGATTTTTGCTTTCATACGTTGATCCATACACATCTCCGCTTCTTTTGACACTTTACCTGGGATTCTACACCTTCAGAAGCAGCACAAATCGTTACACTGTTGCAAGAAGGGCTCAGCCAGCGGGCTGTCGCACGTCAGCTCCACATAAGCCAGTCCTGGGTTTCGAAAGTTTCCTGGGGAGCGATTTGTGCAATGCTGGTTCGCTAAAACATTGGCTTATGGGGGTGGCTTGCTCGACTTCCCATCGAGATGTGTAGGAACAAATTGAAAGCGTGCTTATCGGTGACCTGCCGTCAGTTTCAAGCCTGTGGCAGGCCTTTTTGGAGTCAAATTATATTGTTTATATCTTAGACAAACTGTCCACTTGCTAACAGCTATCCTACGAACATTTCTGAGCTCTTGCTGGACGTCGATACCAGTCAAATGACGATTTCGTAGAGAAGTTGACATGAAAAAACGGTTTTCCCTCTGCGATGTGCACCGGCAATGTTCAGAACTTGGTCTCAGGATAAAGCCACCGGTATCCCGAAAGCGTCTTCAAACTTTCGAAACCCAGGACTGGCTTATGTGGAGCTGACGTGCGACAGCCCGCTGGCTGAGCCCTTCTTGCAATAGTGCAACGATTTGTGCTGCTTCTGAAGGTGTAGAATCCCAGGTAAAGTGTCAAAAGAAGCGGAGATGTGTATGGATCAACGTGTGAAAGCAAAAATCCGAAAACACTTGCTTTTATGGGGGGTAAATAGGCCGCAACTCGCGACGTATCAAACAGTTGATAAATGTCTTTTTTGTTACTTCTTCACATCAGCCGGGATATCTTTTTAAATACTGGTGTGATTTAAATGAATTTGGTATCAATTTAAAGTTAACAGTTTAATCTTTAAAATGGTGCTACTTTTTTTGTTACTAACAAATTGGTTAGTACACAAGATCGCGTGGAAACAACTTCATGTAAGTGATTCCATATTTTTGCTCGCAAGTGTATATAAAAGAAAGTCGTGTTAATTACTCCACTTATAACTCAAGAACGGCTGAACCGATTTAGCTGAAAATTGTCAGGGAGGTAGTTTAGAGCCAGGAGAAGGACATAGGATACTTTTTATCCCGTTTGAAATTAAAAAAAAGTCTGCTTATTTATTGCCATTAAGGCGGAACAAAGTTCGCCGGGTCAGCTAGTAAACAATAAAAACGCCTGCCAATAAACTGATAAGTGATGCGCACGATAACGATGTCATTGTTTTAAGATTGTAGAGTCGCTGTGAATTCTTTGATAATATCATATAGGTACTACCTATTAGGTATTAATAAATTATATTATTGATGATAATGTAAAAGTATCTACGTGTTGTATTTACGTCGACCGAACTCATTATGAACTTTACGTATAGTGTATAATAACATTATTTGCCAATATTAGATTACCTGCTGTCTTAATTATATTTTTACTCATTCCTTCGCTAAAAAAATCCGCGAGACTATCAGTATCGGGACCAATATTAACGCCTGACTAAATTATTTGAACAAAATAAACCAATGTTTTTTATAATAAAATTTATTTGTAGAGGTTTACAGTTTTCGGTCTATTGAGTTGTTCTGTGCATGGCTTGTATGTGGCTGGAGAGATCCTGAACGGTGTTTATGGAATCCCTGAAACAAAAAATATTTTATTGAAAACCTTTTCAAATATTTTAAGAACAGGTAAGTAAGTAGTCCGTTTTTACGGGTCTACGTTGTCTGATGGGCGACAGAAAACGTCGTGAACTCCTTCCCTAAATTGACGAACGTATTGAAGAATCAATGAAAATAATGTCCCACTGCTGGATGAAGGCCTCCCCCACGGATCAAGTTCAGTAATTTACGCAAATTCTGGGTTGACTCACATAGCGCAAAGAAATAACTTCTTCGTCGTTTTAGCCAAATGACGTCCACTGCTGGACAAAGGCCTCCCCCAAGGTTTTCCACAATGAACGGTCCTGCGCTGCCCGCATCCAGGCTCTTCCCGCGACCTTTACCAGATCGTCGGTCCACCTAGTAGGAGTCCTGCCCACGCTACGTCTTCCAGCCCGGGGTCGCCACTCGAAGAACTTTCCTGCCCCAACGGCCACTGCACTTGATTTTAGCAATTCTGCGAGCTATGTCGGTTACTTTGGTTCTCCTGCGGATCTCCTCATTTCTGATTCGATCACGCAGGGAAACTCCGAGAACTTCTTACTGCAACGAAAATGCCATCAACCCAACTCACTGTTACGCCGCTTGCATTCCCTCAGCGCCTCGTTGAACGCCTCGCACTCCTGCAGATTGTCGCGACTGCTCGCGCATTGCAGGAACTGTGCGATCTCGTATGCGCAGGGGCCGGTGGGCTCAGAGCCCAGCTGGTAGTTCTGCGGCAAGGAATGGACCACCTCCTCGCGGCGCCGCCCGGAGAACATACTGCTTATGGCCTCCCCGGCTAAATGGCCCTGGTGATGAGAATTAATTTCATCATTTTCGTTGAAACAATAAAGCAATCACATTGTTTCTATTAAAACCTAAGCATTTGTACTGTAGGTAATAAGTCGTGTATCATCATACTGACTCGTGAATCGCTTAGGTAACCTACATGCGCTAGCTAAGTAATGTTTTCTTGAATTAATGCTCCGCGTAGAGAGAAGAGAAGCTTCGGTCAATATTTAACCGACTTCAACAAAAGGAGGTCTCAATTCGGTTGGTATAATTTTTTTGTACCTATTTATCTACTTACTTAGTTACAAAGAAGACATCACATCTCGAAAGGAAAATCATGAACATGACATAATTTTAGTAAGTAAGTGCCCTGCTCATTTAAGTAGGTCAATGGTATGAAAGGTGGCTTTCCGTCCTTCATATTTAAGTTCCTTACGCAATTTTTGTAACCTTTTACTCACACTCATAATGGTATGATATGACAAGGGTGATGATAAGACAAATCTTTCGTCATGCCCAAATCTAACTCTAGATAGGACCTATCATCACAAATGACGCATCATCGTTTTATCAATGTGCCAAATATTAATACGTACTTAGTTTATCATCGTCATACTTCAAACACAAGGCTGCGAATCTTGGTGGTGATGAAGAAACTTCGCCAATCTTTTTTTAAGCAGTTAAAAAAAGGTTCATTTCAATTTTCAGTCTCGCAGTCAGTTTTATCCTCAGAGTACGAGAGCAAATAGTTTTTTCTGTTCTGAGATTAAAAATCTTAACTTACCATGGTTGTGCCCACAGTGACGCCTCCAGCGACTGCTGCCGCGTCACGGAATACGGACCGGCGCGGCATCGGCGTCACTACGATTGGCGGAGGGCTGGCGGGCGCGTGCCTCTCCGAAGGAGAGTACCGGGAACGGCCGCCACCGCCGGTGCTATAACATTTTGTAAGGTGTAAACTGTGAGGGAATACAAGATTAGCTAAGAAATACGCGTTACAACCGGATCGAGTTAACTGCGCAACTTGCTGGAATGACTCTCCCTCTACCTTCCCGTCCTATACCAGAGCGTCAATGTGACGTCATGGCTGCCAGGTACGCTGTTAACTCGTTGTACAGCTTGTACAAAATATGGCAATAGATGGAGATAAAAAAATACAAGTGATAGGCGTATACCGTTTAGTGTCGGAGTTACGTCCACAGTTGCACATCTTCCACTTAGCCGAGTATGTATGACTAGGCTGTGTAGAGGCTGCAAATGTTATTTTACATTAAATTAATATCATTTTTTAATAAACACGTACAGAATGTACATGAATAAAAGTAAAGGTTGGCAGACTCGTCAAAACCAAGTCATACATAAGCAGGGACCAAATTAAAAATAAAACAACTTGTTGGTTTGGTTTTTTTATTATTGTAAAATAATATTTATAATTTGTTACTATAAATTACGTAAACAATTGGATTAATTGTAACAATAGATGTTCTACATCACAATTTTGTCTTAAAATAAAACAAAATTAAAGCACTAAAAATTTGTCTAAAAATGTCTATGCCTTCTCCCGTTTACTTATTCAGAAGTAAAAGCTACTAGGAAGCTGTCGCATCTTCCGATTGAAACTGAAAGTTTTTATGTTCAGGGAGCCTTTGAATGATAGTATTGTCCTTGTAAATGTTTGGCAAAACAGAGATAATGATTTCCGGGAGAAGAGAAGCATTTTGGAGGAATTCACGACAGCCTCAGTTGGAGATTTAGATATGGTTGTTGATTTTGCATTGACGTAGGGCCTCATTGAAGCCCTCGCAAAGGGTGAGGTCGTGCTGTTGTTGAGCGCACTCGATGAACTGTTTGATCTCCCAGGCGCAGGGTCCGGTGGGCTGCTGAGGTTGTTGGTTGTAGTTTTGGACAGGCGCTGGTTGCTGCTGCTGTGGTGCTGGCTCACTGCTGCTACCTCCGCTGAACATCCCAGTTAGAGCACTACCGGCCATGTGACCCTGTAACAAAGAAATAAAATTCAATGTTGTCATCATCAGTCTTTGTTTATGTCTTAAATGTAATCCTTGATAAGTTATCTAGGGATTGTAGCAAGGATATGTAGAAAATGACAAGAAATTATGCACAAGTAACCTTTGCACTTGCAAGTTCATTATGTTTTCAAATTAACTATTCCAGTTGAAATCTTATAAATTTATGTCACTATTTATGCTAAATTTTCACTGGAGTGGTATGAATTCATGTTGCAGTGCAAATAACTGCTAAAAATGTTGAACTCTAATCAGAACAAAACAACACTATTGCGCAAAACTTGTTTACTTTATCACCAAAACAAAATACAGAACACGAAAACGTCACGGACACGTGACAGTCTTCCGATCGTTGGCTCTTCGCCACTCAGGACTTGCAACACAATTTCACCTGTTACGATCGTTTCCAGAAAATCTCATTTTTCTCTAAAACTTCTTGGTTAGGAAAAAATATGCAGATTCATCACGTTACGTAATAAAATACGCACCACAGCTGATCCGACAGCTACACCACCAGCAGTGGCTGCCATTTGGCCGAATAACGACGGCTGCTGAGGCTGCGCCATCGCTGGGGCGGGGGCTGATGGAGGAGCATGAGCCGGGACACGGCTTGGAGCCGGAGCAGGCGCAGCAGCCCTGAAAATTGCGAGGTTATCAACACATGTCTCTTAACAATCAGAATCCATTGCATGTAATAATTGATCCTTCCTTACCTTCGCTGTGGGGCTGGTGGGGGACTCGCAGAACGTCCTCGACGAGGCATTGTTGAAAAGCTTCTCAAAAATCAAATTCACAAAATACGAGCACAAGTTCCGATTTCTTTTGACAGACTGAAAATGACTGAATGACTTTTCAGCCTTCTCGAAAATTTAAATATAGAAAACGGATGTTGCTATCTCTTTTACACTTTGAGCAAAGCTCTTTGGAAGAGCGAGATAGATTTACTTGACATTTGTGAACGAATGAGTGAGTCAACGAACAAGCCCACCGTCTCGATTTTAGCGAGTGGCAACATCAGTAATAAAAACTAGCGACCAATAGAAATCGGCCAAATTATCAATAAAATGGGTTTTATTGGATAATAGTCGCACTTGTGGTGCCTATGTGTTGCACTATCTATTAACTAACTGAACGCGGTAATTATATTTTTTCGGATCTTAGCATTTTAATAAATTTTTAATGTAAATATTGAATCAAATACATACAAAATAATACAGTTTTCATGACGCACTTACCTTCTACCCCGAGCAGGCATATTTTAGGAGGTGGACTAATTAATTTAAAAGTGAACTTTAATAAAATCACATTGGCTTTTGTACCTGATTGATTTGATTGATAGATTGACCAATTTTCTCTATGAACGTGTGTCATAAATAAAAAAAGGTTTATGTCGAACATTTTATTACTGTCCAGTCTTAACTAGGTACCTACTCGGGTAAAGGTTCACTCCATGCATGGACTCCATGTATGTGATCCACTGGAGTCCAGTGACTGGACTCCACACCAATTTAATATGTATCTGTCTTTGGTGGTCTGTATCGGCAGAACATAATCATCACTTGGATCGGATATCTAAGAGCTGACTAAAAAGAGATTTATAAATAGGCTTAGATTAATAATATAAGTAAATAGGTAGATAAACCTACTAACATCAGCGCCCCAACAAGCTCAACCCGTTTGGCAACACTGGCAACTACTGGCAAGATGTTTTTCCTAGCCCTACTTTTTATTTATCAAAATATTAGACTTTCCTACTAGACATTATCATTACTTACCTACTCCCTCGCTTGAATCAACCTTTATTTTTACCAGAGTTCGTTCGTTTGTTTTGGCCAAATGACGTCCACCACTGGTTAAAGGCCTTCCAAAAAAAAATTAAGGCTAAAGAAGAAAGCTCTGGGAGCTGGAACCTTAACCTTAAAAGCAGACTTGGGCTGTAGTAAGTAAATATTACTGATATTAACCCACATTTGTAGTGTCTACCTACCTACTTACCTACTACACTATAACTTTATTAACTGGAGCTCAGCAGAAAGAACGTTTGCGCAGAGCTCATTAGAGAAAATGTATGCATAAAATGTTTACCAATAATAATGAAAATGATATTATGCATAAAAGTATGTTTTGTACTTAAATGAAAAAAAGCGCTGTAAGCGCTGCAAGAACGTAACCACATGGAAAAAGTTCATTGGACAAAAAACAAACTTTAAAGGCAGCTGCTATAGCTCTTATCTTCTTGAAGATAAATGTGAATCTGGTTTGAGGTAGCGTAGTTCGTGGATGGACTAAGCTTCAACCGTATTTCGCGCGGTATTCACTTCATTCAATCAATTCATTGCCTCACTTCAGTCAGTCTGATCAGTCAAGTTCCGTTCGTCAGTTCGTTCAGTCAGTTTACGTGAAATTGTGAGACCGTATGATCGCAGCTGCATAGATTGAATTTTGTGTTGTATAATAATTAGCGGTTTCGTAAAGAATTCTGAGTGAAAATGGGCGATATTGAAGCCGGTCTGAATACTAATGTATTCGTCTTGATAGCAGCAACAGTAATTTCATGTGTAATACTACACTTTTTAATCAAGACCATCTTCGGAAGCAAGAAAAAGGAAGCACTCGAACATGAAGCAGAGAGCAATCAAAGTAAGTTTTTTACGATATTTCTGTGCCAAATGAGGAACAGGGGTGCTGGTGATCTACAGGAGGTGATCGTTTATGGATACTTTTTGAGTTGTTTCGTTTGTAAGTGTTGCATGCACGTGGGACGCATTTTGCCGCGAAGCGCAGTCGTCGCGTCCGGACGCACCATGTGTGTGATCTTGGATATTCGAGCGGATGCTTTACGGTTAATCAGTGTTGGCGAAGAATGCAGCTGACATACTTTATTGCCGTTTACTATTCTGCCGTCTATAAGCTAAAAGGCCGCTAAATGACATTTGGTCATTTTTCACTTTTTTAATGTAACGGTAATAAAAAAAAATTCTCTATCGATCTGTCTAGGAACGGTTATTCTATCTTTTACCGTTCTCAAGATATTTGTATTCAAAAGGCAGCTAAANCAAAATATCGGATATTTATGATATATATCCGATATACAGGGTGGAAACGATAAGTGATCTCACTCGATTATTTCTAAACTATGCAAGATATCGCAAAACTGGTTACTGATCCTGAAAGTGCTTCACGAGCTCTATCCAACGGTACCAATAATAGGTTACAAAATAAACTGGATCTATCCGAAAATTCGATGTTTCCAGCTTTCATACATTTAGTAAAACCACTTTATATTAAAAACTATACTAGCTATCCAAAAACTGGTTACTGATCTTGAAAGTGCTTCACGAGCTCTATCCAACGGTAGCAAAAATTAGTTACAAAATAAACTGGATCCATTCAAAAATTCAATGTTTCCAACTTCCATACATTTAGTACTGCCACAGTCATGGCACTCATGTCTTGACAATATTATAGCAAGTAAAGCCCAGAACCAATGTTTTCCATGAATAATTTGAAATAAGAATGCAATTGACGAGTTCATTTTAAGTGTTTATTATTTAATAAAAAAAAAATACAATTTTCATATTGTGCGGCTGGCATACATTTAGTATGGAGGCTGAAAACATTGAATTTTCGGATAAATCCAATTTATTTTGTAATCTATTACTGATACCGTTAGAAAGAGCTCGTGAAGCTCTTTCAGGATCAGTAACCAGTTTTTCGATAACTTATGTAGTTTAGAAATAATCGAGTGAGATCACTTATCGTTTCCACCCTGTATATCAACTTTGATATATATCAATTTTGTATGAAAGCCATAGTATTATTTTATTGCATTATTCATGAATACTATTGCATATGTGTTACATAAACATGTTTTTAATGTTTTTAAAACTTAATATCAGATAAATAAAGCAAAAACATAAAATATCTTTGAAATACGGCCAAATCACCTAGAAAAATAAAAATCTTATGTCAAAAAGTACAAATACAGTAACAAATTTTAAAAGTTGATATACAGGGTGTTTGGCGCATCGTGTGCCAAAATGATTTGGCGGATAAAATGGGTCATTTCCTATATTTTCAGCCCCCATAACACGTTCCATGTCAGGCGGCTACTTTTATATTAAGTTTTTTAGTAATTTCACCAAAATACCCAAATCGCATCATTTAATTTCGATTTAAAAAAAAACTACTAAGCGTAGCCTCAAAGTAAATATTTTGTTTTGACGTGCATTGATATAGGGTTGCATCAAATCTAAATTTACTGGCAAATATCATCTAGTTTTTTTTTAATTCAGCTTTGAACTTTTCCGAAAAGTTAAAAATGGACTGAACATTTAAGTTTACATGGCTATAAAACATGCAAATAAGGTTGTTAGAACTAGAATAAAGGCAATTTTTAAAATGTTACCCTAAGAGAATGGACTATTTTATTTTGTAATCACCATTCCCGATAGTTTTGTGGAAAAAAAGAACTTTTCTTTGCAAAAACTTAGTTTGATTTTATAAGTTAACGTTTAATTTTGCAGGATTCGAAAAATACAGATGTGGATAGTGCTAGCCTAAAAAGCAGTTATATGAAAAGGTTTAGTAATTAACTGCCTTTAAGTTATGCATAACTGTATTAAAAGTTGTTAAAAACTTTTGGAAGAGAAGTTAAGCGATATCTACTTGGCTAGAAGGCGGCTATGTGTAATTAGCCGCTTTTTTGTTATGGATATGTTAATAACTTCCTGTCTTTTCTGGCAGTTATTAATAAATCCATAACTTAAAAGCAGTTATGATTCTTTAGCCGCCATTTAGTTCTGCACACTTGAAGCAAGCCTTAAAATTTTACAAAGTTAGAAAGGAAAATGTGTATTTATTGAATTAATTATTAATATTTTACAAAATCAACTTACTTCATGTGAAAGTTGAAAAAAATACCTTTTTTTTGGTATATGACAACATGACAAAATGTTTATAGATACTGAGCAGCATCGGTTTGAAAATTTTGCCGCTTTTTTCTGCTCTAGCTCAAAATTAGATTTTGTCATTTAGCGGCCTTTTAGCTTATAGACGGCAGTATTACAGTTACATTCATCATTGTGGGTTCTCTCTTAGCGAGGTAGACGCACCTACATATTTTTTAGCAACCTACCTCAACAAAGAATTTTTTTTAATAGCTTTTAACTTACATAATTTTATCCAGACATGCTGTTGTGCAAAACTAGCAGAATGTCAGTGCATGTTGTGCTGTTATGCAGAAACAAGTGGTGTTTCCTAAATTTATATTTTTTATTTTCCATACAAATAATAATATTAATTGACACAACAAAGCTAAAGATTATTTATATGGACTCTTATCATTACAATCATAATGGCATCATAACAAGATCAACATTATACATTACCATGTTTTAAAAAATCATTGAATGTCACTTCAAAACTTAATTTAAAAAATTTAAATTGCATTACAATTTAAATTATTTTTTTAATTATTTCCATAATCGAATAATTACAGTATTATAAAAAGTACATTACAAAATTTTATTAAAATGGTAAATGCAATGGTAGGTACATACTATAAATTTTATTATCCCTAATTGAGACCAATTAATTAGTTTCTACTAGCATAGAAAACATTTTTAACCCTCGCTGTACGAGGTGGGGTGTGACACACCCCAGTCCTTTAAAAATCGTCATAATTTTAAAAATTTGCAAGTGCTAAATTTGAAATTCTCAGTAGCTGGAATTATGGCGCTGCTTCTTCGATCAGCGTTGCAAAATCAGTCCAGCGGTGACTACCAACTTAGTTACATGCCTTTAAAGTGCGTGTGGGTGTCACACACCCCACCTGGTACGGGACGTTGTTAAAAAGTTTAAAAAATTATCTAACAGTTTTGGTTTAATTTATATATTTTTAGCTTTGTTAATTGAATAAAATTCAATACAAATAATATTTTTCGTGATTTTCACGGAATCTGAAATTTTCAAGGACTTTTAGTCAAATGAGATGACTTTTAGTGGGAATCTGGAAGTTTAGTACTGAGATCCGAAGATGTATGTGAACATACACTTATGGGCTACAATTAATACTTGGTGATACAATTTATGGGCTGCTGAAATGGAATAACATATTTTATAAATAAATAAAATTGTTTCGCTCCCATTTTATGCATTGAGCATACTCATTTTCTTTCATCAGAATTAGGGTAAATTAAAATACGATGATCAAAATAAATTTATACCCGTCCAGTTTTTAATTTACTTTTAAATTATAAGTAAATATCTTGTACTTTGTTAAATAAAAACGGTTGTCATAATTAACCCGGCGTCAATGACGCTGGGTCATATTGACCCGAGGCATTTTCAAACGTTCATAATTTTTTTTTGCGTCCATTTTGTAGTTCGAGCGTTCGTATAGCTGGAGATAGAACCTCCCTAAATCCATTCCGTTAGTTGACGTATTGTGACTCCGCTTGCGTAGCGAGATACACAGGCTTCAAATTAAAACGGGTCATTATGACCCGGCGTCATCGGTGGCGCGGTGATTTTGTGACTTACTTTTATTCGCTTATTTTGTGTTTAGTGCTAGCTTATGTTGTTCTTTTTAAAGTTTTAGTCAAAATGTCTTTGTTAAATGACCCAGCAAGAATGTAGCGTTGCTGGAAGAGTCGGATTCCGAGATTGAAGAATTTCAGGCTGTAATAGCCAAAACTTAGAAATGGCAACGAATGTGAAAAAGACGCAAGTAATGTGGATTCAGTCTTCGGATAATCTCGAACTTGCATTAGTACGACGCCGGCAAGTGCGTCATGCCACATTTACATGCCCAGACCATTTGATTACATACTGCACCAGTTGCAGCAGTTCCATGGCTCTAAATGATGAAGTAGAAGACTGATATCATTGTATCTGCATATAAAAAGTTGATGTTATCTCTTTTTCACTAAATAACATTGTTGATTCCTATTAATACTAAAAATATTTACCAAAAACAAAAAATATAGACTCAAATGTGTTTCTATACATGATTTTTTCATGTTTTGTTTAAAAATTCATAAAAAATAAATTATTTCATGTATTCGTTTTATTTTTGTTTTATTAGCTCAGTAAAGACCCCTATATACATAGACAGTAATTAAAATTAAGATTACTTGTACAATTTCCTGAAAAATGATCGATGAAATGTGGGTCAATATGACCCGGGGTCATCGTCTTTGCAATTATTTTCACGTCATTGGCGCCGGGTTAAAGGCACTAATTAAAAATTATACATAAGAAACTGATTCCTAAATTACAAGAACAATGGAAATTGTGTCTTTTTGTTTTTTTATGACAAAAATGTTATAATACATATTTTCAGCTCAGAGCTTTTCTTACACCTAATAGTATACGTAAATAATCAATATTAAATATTAAATACCACCTAAATAAAATTTTAATGAAAGTTTTATCACTTTGTATATTGGGGTATGTCATACCCCACCTGGTACGGGACGTAACTTTTAGTCACCTCGTACACGGAGGGTTAAAAGGAACAGTCAGTCATTCTGGTCATATTAAAATTTTACAGTAACAGGCAGCCAGATAATAAAAATGAAAACATACTTATTTTATTTCTATGTTAATTTTGCATGTTAATGCGACATTCATGCTTAAATTGAACGCAGTTATGTTTTAATTTGTCCGATGTCAGTACACACTTGTCCAAACAGTCTGTAGAGAACTTACTGAAGAATGAGGTTTGACAACAAAACAAACCTATATGCTTTGTTGTATTTAATGATTCATGGCAAAAAATAAATACTACCTTCATGTCATGCATTCTAGGGGTCATTTATTCATCGCTAGTTGTAGGAGGTGTGTAATATACGAACAGCAATAATAATTTTATTTGTGCATGTACTTTTGCTTTTATGTGTTTATTACTAACATAGCAGTGAAATTATTCATATTTCAAAGTGTTCACAGACTATTCTATTAACAAATCAATATTGCTTGTCAGGAAAATATTCTACAATTAATGGGTATTTTATGACAAAATATGTTTGCAAGTTTTATTTATTATATCAATACATAATAAATAATATGAAAAAGCTAAAAAATATGTGTATTATAAAAATATTAGCACCACTACATAACATTACACAATTTACTACTTACCTACATCAATAAAATTCTTGCCTGTTGATGAAAGGAGCAATAAATTATTTCAATATTTTTTTTTTTTATTCCTTAAATTCTTCTTTCCTTCCTAAAACTATATTGATTTTTTGATTGTGTAGTAAAACTTTATAGATAGTCAACATTTTCGCGAAATTTACTTTTCAAATAATAATTTAAAAAAATCCCCACATACATCATGCTGCGCGCGCGCTCATAATCTGCAGCATTCTACTTTTCTCTGTGACAGTTTCTTACCGATTTTTTCTTCCATCCCCTACCATTGTGTTTTTACATGGTTTGAGAACTTTGAGAATACGAAAGAAACAATGTTAAATTTAGCGTCGCGTCGCATGGCTTACTTTCACTCGTGAGATAAAGTTAACATTTTCTTACATAACCGTTGGTCCTCTTACTTTCAAGATGCACTTTAACACCGATTTTAAGTTTTATTGCCATCGAAAGATTCCTTCCATTTATGGTTCAACTTCGATTTGATTTTTGCCACACGTAAATCTGCGCTTCAGAACCCCATTTATCAATAACTTTAGTACAAATTGCAAAATAATTTTCACATTTCGTCTGACACACATTTTATTCTCCAACAAAATCTCAAATACTTTATTAATTCTTTCATTTATTAAAAAAAAACTATTTCATCTAATTATTCCTGGAAACGGCGGTCCTAACGCGGTTTTTACTACTCAAATTCAAATAGCGAGCTAAATATTACTGAAACAATATCCATACAAAAAAAAATACTGAAGAAAGTAAAAGTCTGAAAATTGAAGTAGGGTAAGTGCGTTAGTTTTCGTCCAATTATCGGAGTTGCCAACTTTGTGATGCGAAATAAATATTTTAAAATACCCTTACTCATATGTATCATATGTCGTTTTAGTCCTTACATAGTCTACTTTACGTTAATATTCTATGACAATAAGTAAATACCACGGGTTTTTTTATAAAAAATATTTTATGTAAAAGAGGCGATTTCACTGGTTTTCGTCCAAAAAAATCAGTTTTCGTCCTAGTGTACGCTAGTTTTCGACCACTGTGTAGAAAAAAGGGTGCAGTTGAATTATTAACTTAAAACCAACTCTACAATACAGTAACTATGGATTGTGGTATATCATTTGAAAGGTAATTTTGTTAGCTTTCAAATGATATCAAAAAGATTTAAATAAGTTTCTTACCTAAATTCAGGAAAATATTTCAATAGGTCGAAGGACAAATGGACGAAAACTAATCTACAGGAATAGCTAATTTTGGTTTTCGTCCACCCCAGTGCTTGCTCATGACGTCATGGACGAAAACACAACAACGTTTAAAGCTGTTTTTTGTTTTCGTCCACATATTTTTAACGGTTTTTATGGGTTTATCACTGTTAAAAAGTGGACGTAAACTAAAATGTTTGTTGTAATAGCAATAAAGATCATATTGGAAGAAAAAACATTGTATTTTGTAGGTCCATTGAAGTAAAATGATTATTAAAAATATTAACTAGGTGTCAGGGTTTCCGTCCACGTGGACGAAAACTAAAATCTTGCAAAATTGTTATGCTAGTATTAGTCCACTTAATTATCTAAGATTTCTATACAAAAGCTTTAATAAACCCTTAAAATAGTGTTTATTATGCTAATAATTAGACATGCGTGCCAAAAACATTAACATAAAGTAGCTAAAACAGTAATTAAACATACCATGAAAGTTCCCTACCAGCACGTTTTTTTTCTAACTTGACGACGTTTTCCATTCACCTGTGTGCAGCAGCAACTTCCGTAGATTTTTTTGGAGTTATTACTTATCAAATTACATTTTCATGCAGGCAGAACTGTTACTTAGATATTATAGATTGTAACAAGTCCAAACTTGCACGGAAAGTTAGGTTTGTATTCTAATTTTCCGTATTTGTTTGTGGCAAGTCGGTCAAATGGACGAAAACAGGAGCTGGACGGAAAACCGGCGCAATTACCCTAACTCTTACAGACCTAGTGTTAATTTCCGATAGAAAGTGCCTATTCGCACATTTTCTATTCTTGTTTCATATCCTAGGTTAGATATTACCGGCGGAAGGCAGTAGCCCGGCTCTATATCTGATGAAAGTGGTATTCGTTTACGTAAACGGTATAATGTTACTCATAAACTAATAATAACGCATAACTTTATTACTTAACTATCACGTTATGTGGTTAGAATAATGAGTAGTTGAGAATTCATGTTGTACTGATCGCATGCCAGATCTCACGACGGTCACGACACGAAAAATTTGTCCTTCCTTTAACCATTATTACGAGTATTTTAATGACGAATTGATTAAATATTTTCCTTTTATAAGTCTCGCGTTTTTGCAAAGGATTCACTCGCATAGTTCCCAATATATTTTCTGCATCATTGGAATCGCCATGACTAATCTCCGTTTGAATCATTCATAAGATCGTCATTATCATTACCATCAATAAATTCTCGTATTTGCAGTTTATTTGAGAAGTAGGTAATTAATAAAATGGTTGAGTATTCTTCGCGCTCGAATACCCATAAATGTATTCCTATTGAATTTTCATTGGTATAAGTGCAATAGCGAGGCTACATTTAATTAATTGTATTAAAAAACAGACTTCGAGAAGACTTCGCGATAATGTATTTTAAGACGAACAGAACAGGGACGTATTGCACTTTGCATTCGACTTGCGTGAGAAAATTATATCCTAGAATCGTAGCTTCTGTATTAGTTTCAAGTGAAACTGACGAGTATGATTCGGTTCTTAATTTAACAGCATGACTTGAAAGCTTGGGATGCCCACGCTAGATGAGTTGTCTTGCAGTGAGTCATCGGTCATCGCCATAGCTTCCATATCGTATAAGTATACGTATCTTCATACATACATATTGCTCTGTTACATGTAGCGCCATGTTCTCAGTCGAAACTCGATGTAGAGGAACTTTCTATGTCACTGGAAGCTATTGTCTGCAGAATCTTTGTTGTGATGAGGTTCCCCACTTTCAAAATCTCTGTGAGACTTATTGTGATCGAGATAAAGTTCAACATTAACCATGTATTACCGCAAACGAAAAGTAATCAAATTGCGCGAGAGCAGAGATAAGATTTTCCAACATTAATGAATGCTCGTCTTTTTATTTTGCTTATTATGAGGAATGATGACACGTGTTTTGAATTCGAATGTTGTTGAATTTGTAATACAACGGCGTAATACAAGTATTCATAGTCCAAAGTAAGATAAGACACGTAATACAATACAAAGTAAATTGAATTGGTCATAATACTATGTAAGTATATGTAAATGGCGTAGGTAGGTGCTGTGAGCAACTTAAACTCAATATACATGCCTATGTATTTTTAAAATTACCCTATTGGTGGGCTTCCTTGTCTAAATTTAGATTAGTTACAAATCTAAATTTTTTTGTGTTCTATTTTTGTAACACACCATGTTCTTCTCATTGAGATATAAAACGTATGGTAATGGTATTTTCCAGATGCTCCCAACGAAGAGGCTGCTTCAGAAACGGCTGTGACCGAAAGCCGTGCTAGTGGGAAGAGTAAAAAACGCGCACCATGGAAAGGAAAAACGGAATACAGCCACCAATGGCTGCTGAAGAATCTCAAGGGACACCCAGGCACCGTGCTCCTGGTCGACTTTTCTCCAAACGGCAAATTCATGGCGGCCACCTGTGATGGTAAGTCTCCAACCCTTGAAATCTGCTTTTGATTAAAAAACAGATAATAGTCACGTTCATCATGACAAAACTATTTTAAGTCATTCAGTTCAAGATGCGTGTTCTATCTCAATTCGTCTGTATAATCTATCTCAAGGTGCTTCAAGCAGTTACAGTGCTTGTTTTGACGTCACTAACTCGTCGTACATTAGTGCTCTTAATCACTACTATAGAGTTTTTCATGTATGAACTCCTGGCTATTATGAAAACGTAAAGCAGGAAGGTTGTAACACGCGATGAGATACGCTGAAATTTATGTTTTTTTAACGCGTTATTCGATTATACAAGTTGCGTCATATTACGTATAACTATCCTGCTTTACATACTGTTGTATAACTTTTAGAACTACAGTCCAAGTGTACTGCGATCTGTTCTGAATTAAAACAGGCTCCTAAATGGATCTGTAAAAAGCCTCGCGTGATCACACTCTTGTAAAGGTATAATACAATATTCATATACCTATATGTACATGATAGCAGGGTTCGAAAATATCCGATATTTATTATAAACTAGCGGCCGCCCGCGACTTCGTACGCGTGGATCCCGTTTTACCCCCTTCATCTATCTTACGCGGTTTAGATTTTTTCATACAAATGTTTTTTTCCGCTAACTCCCGTTCCCGTGGGAATTTTGCAATATCCTTTTGTAACTAAGCTTCAAGTTTACTAAGGTACCTGCATGCCAAATTTCAAGCGTCTAACTTAAGCGGTTTAGATTTTTCATACAAATGTTTTTTCCCGCTAACTCCCGTTCCCGTGGGAATTTTGCAATATCCTTTTGTAACTAAGCTTCAAGTTTACTAAGGTACCTGCTTGCCAAATTTCAAGCGTCTAACTTAAGCGGTTTAGATTTTTCATACAAATTTATAGCCATGTAAACTTAAATGTTCAGTCCATTTTTAACTTTTCGGAAAAGTTAAAAGCTGAATTAAAAAAAAACTAGATGATATTTGCCAGTAAATTTAGATTTGATGCAACTCTATGTCAATGCACGTCAAAACAAAATATTTACTTTGAGGCTACGCTTAGTAGTTTTTTTTTTAATTGAAATTAAATGATGCGATTTGGGTATTTTGGTGAAATTACTAAAAAACTTAATATAAAAGTAGCCGCCTGACATGGAACGTGTTATGGGGGCTGAAAATATAGGAAATGACCCATTCTATCCGCCAAATCATTTTGGCACACGATGCGCCAAACACCCTGTATATCATCAAAACCGGCTTGATATATATCGGATATATATCGGATATACAGTGTGAGTCACGTTAAAGTGTACATATCAAAATAGATGAAACTAGACCTATTTTTATCGACAAAAAAGAGGTCAAAAAATTTTTGTGATTTTTTTTTAATTTTTTATAGAATTTTTTTTCTTCCAATTACTTATTGTAAAGAAAACATAATAACTTTTAAACTAAGCGGTATATCTTGATACAATAAAAACAGTAACAATGCTAAATAACAGGCAATACTAAAAAAATACATAAAATACACAAAAAAGGCCAACAAATAATAAAAAATTATACNTCTCACAGACACACACACACGCGCGCGCACACACACACACACACACACCCACACACACACACACACACACACACACACACACACACACACACACACACACACACACACACACACACAAACACAAACTCAATGTGGATAAAACAATGTTCTGTTCAGTTATTGTCTCTAAATGTGTTCTACATAACGTAAACTTAAGGGATTGCAAACATTACTTAGCTCTAAGAAAGTCAAAAACATGTAACGGAATCTCCGACTTACCACATTAGTGGAGCGATTACAGAAAATAATGGCATATTAAGTACATGTTTTTTTGTGTTATTATGAAAGTTCAGAAAACTGCGCAGTTTTTAAAATTATTTTGGACCTATGGAATTTCTTCTTTTTTTTTTAACTTTTAAGTTGAAAATTTTAGAATGTTCCGCTAATAGCATATTTTTTATGTTTCTAGCAAAAATTTTGTATCTTGCATCAAAGATAGGAAGTTGATTATTTTTTTCAAAAATCTGCAATTAATAGGGAATCTGTCAAAAAAAAGAAATCTGAGAAAAGTCGACCCAAAAAAAAGATAAAAAAATTTAAAGCCTACTGGGTCATACAATTTGAAAAAATCACAAAATTGACGATAACTTCTAAACTATGAAAAATCGTAGAACATACATGGGGGTGAAATCGATAGGTCTACAAGAAACACCCTATATCTTGATATATATCCCTTGATATATATCCTCGAACCCTGCATGATAGTATCCTTTATAAAAAGGCATGAACTGAGCACGCCACTGCCACGCAAAAAATCTTCAGGACAGGTCTCTATGCAATCGGATTTATAGTTACTACGGTATTTTCATTATCATAAGATTCCGAGTGTCGATTATCATATCAAGCATTTTTGACCCACCTTAATGATTTGAATCATAATAAAGATAATTTTACAAATTTTCCGATAAATGGATTAAGCAGGCGCATAGTGATATCATATTGATACTCGTTATCTTGTAACCTGTCGTTAAAATAATGTTACTATAAATCTTTAATGCTTACAAATCTAAATGTTTCGTGATTGATGAAATAGTACCGCTCTATTATTATGTTATAGCAATTAACATTTAATTCGAGACTATAGTAACATTATTTTACATGCTATTTCGTTTCGATTTCAATTCTACGGTGTATATCTTATTCTTCTGTATTTTTTCATCAAAATGACAATACTTTAATTTCTTGACTTATTAAAATTGAAATCGAAGCGACGTTGGAACTAAAGTATTTCACTCATGCGACAATACTTCTAGTAAGGGCCGATTTCTGATGAATATCCTCAAAAATCCTTAATTCAGAAAGGTATTCCATAAATCGGCTCTTATTAATTGAACCTATATTGTGGAATACAATTCTGCAATCCATCGTGCAGGCGTTAGACTTTTAATTAAAGAATAAGCATTAATTAATATAAAAGCAATTATGTATTAGCGTTTGAAGGGCCCATTCTGTTGCTCAAATACAGCTTTATTATGACATCCATGTCAGATTGGAAGTAACAACTTGCAGTCTATGTGGGTTTCTACAGCTATCTGTTTTTGACCAGCAGAAACATTAACAGCTGCTACTCCTATAATCTCCATTAACTGCGGTTTTGGTAGCCCTTCAAATGGCGTGCTAACGCCTGCACGAGGAAGCGTCTCATCCGCCGAGGCCTTGCGCGTTTTTGTCCCACTCGGCTACGGCACTGTTATGTGTAATTTGGAGGTCCGGTCGAAGTCGCCGCAAGGCTGTTCATGCTTTACCTGTATTCTAGAAAATTCTCACAGCAGATATCATACTCAATCGCCGACTTATTGCATCAAATCTGTTAGCCAATTTAAATGAATATAAAATCAGTTTAACATCAAATTGGCAATACCTATTGGTATGATAATAACATAAAGGAAATTAATATTGAAATACGTATATAATTTATTTTATGATTTCAACTCCTATTTTACATCATGATTAGTATACCCAGCCGTAGCTATCTAAATAAAATAACGAGGAACAAGTACAGTTAGGTAATTATTGCCGGCGTTCCAAAAACTATTTTGAGGTCGCTTTTCATTACAATACGGCAAATTTATTCACACTTATATCTACATGGTTACAAAAACAGTATGTGAGTGGGTCGTAAGAAGATTAACTGTTTAATCGTGTCCCGATACTTGTCTGACAAGCGCACGCACAAATCGCAACTCACGAAGGCGTAATCGTTATCATGTTGCCATTGTCACCGTACGAGTTGGAGTAAATCACTGTGAAAAATCAGTTTCCCGCTCTAGTTGGCGTTGCTGCGCTTGCGCCGCTGATGCGCCGGCCGGTGATAAGCCACCGCTAACCGGAATGATCGCCGTGATAGCGGGGTCGCTCACCTCGCCGAAACGTCTGCGACCCTGTTCCGCTGGCTTTGTTTACACGCAACTGGGTCGAATTATATGCCTATATCACACTCGATTAATATGCCATGCCGCGACCTGCCGTCTGACCACGCCTTTTGTTCGACATTCAGAACTTCCAGGTTGCTTTGCATATGTAATATTACCCTTTAGCCGTGACTACATATTCTGATTTGCAAGTTATTATTAGTATTTCGAATAGAGGCGAACAAAAAGCCGGTGTAAACCGCCTGGTTACAGATTTGGAATGGCACATGTTACGTGATTGTATCAATCTAAGTCCAATGTGGTACATACAATGTAAACGTCCGCATATAGGCACGACCACGTGGTTTTGCGAACGACCAATCTGCTTCATCAGCCAGATAGATCTAAAGCCAGACATTCTGTCAGTAGATTGCATGTTGTGGTAGGTGAAACGTCATGTTTTACGTAAGATTTTCTTTAAAAATAAAATGTAATCTGTAACGTTTCGTAACAGATACTGTAAGCGTTCTCGAATTTGCTATTTGTCGCTTGATTGACGATGTAGAGTCAGTTTTTTACTAGATATTATTATGCCACTTAAACACTGAATCTGAAGTCCTGTTCCGAGATTGTAATACTCCTGGCAACAAGATTAGTTTATAATCAGTATTTAATAGTATTTATGTATAGGAATTTGAACAATATAACCTCGGCCCATAGATAGAATATCGAGTGCGGTTGTAAAAAGACTGTAACTGGAAGCGATGCTTTGTATCTGTTAGTGCTTACTTATACAACGTGCGATGACGCGTGAAGCGTGACCATGAAGCGACCTAGGGCGAGCGTCCTCGCTGCCACTCTGCCCGACCATAACGACATTTATTTTATACTTTTAATACCGGCAAAACAACAGAACGTCGCTGTTCCGCTTCAAAAGCCTATGTTTTTCTAAATTTAGACATTGCAACAACTAATTGATAAGGAACACAGCCAAAATCCTGCAGTTGGCTAAAAATAACCGCGCGTCAGCGTCAGTTAAACT